AAACCAAGTAAGGGCCTGGTCTTCCTCTCTAGTATTAGAATTGCATCTGCATACTCCACCATGGAGTCCCACCCTCCTTTGATCTTGGAATAAGGGGATGAAAGGAGCTCAGCTTTCCCCTGTGTCAGGTATGTGGAGCTTTTACTAAATGGGAATTTGTGAAGAAAGTTAAATCCAATATGTCCCCGAGCCTGTTTTGTTAATTTGTGAACCAGCAGATTGAAACATGTCATGATTCTTTGTAGTACTGTATCGTACTCAATAATAGCTGGCAAATCAATATTAGTAGACATGCCACTTATTTTTCTACTCCTACTATATACAGGAAGATATTTGTGCACATTAAATATGAGATATACAATAAAATTGGTTGTAGTTAGGTCCTAGAATTGACTAGTCCCTCCAGCTCTGTCTTTAGAGTAGATGTAGTCATGAAGTTATTATCCCATTTTCATTATCTAGATGAATTGCTGAAGCAAAACGAAAATTAAAAGTTCATTCCATTGCTTGGAATCCAGATGTCAGGATTTGTATTATATACTTATGCCTAAAATTTAAATATTCTAATCTTATAGATTATAGGAGACAGTGTTATGTATATGTAATGAAAGAGCATAGGCTTTGGGGTCTGATATGCCCTGGGCTTAAATCTGGGCTTTGCCATTTCCTAGCTGAGTGAGTTAAATAAGATACTCAATATCACGGTTGATTTTAGTTTTTTTTCTAATTTTAAAATGGGGATAATTATAGCATCAATCTCTCAGGATTCTTGTGAAGATTAAGTGAGATAATGAATGGAAAATGACAAGCTCCATATACATAGTATTCTGTTTTTCTCCTTCCCTTAACATGAGTTAAGCCAGCATTTCTCAAAATATATTCTGTTGAACTCTATTCCCTCCAAATGCTTTTTCAAAAAATGCTTATTGCTCAACTGAATTTGTTCAGTCTTGGAGAGAACAGACGTTAACATATTTAATGGTGCTGAGAAGCTCGATCATGAACAATTTTTTGGTGGTGGTTTAACTTTTTAAATCTAGCATTTTCCAAATTTATTTTGTCATTGTACCTTTTTTTTTTCATTGAGAACACCTATTAATAGCCCATGCTATTGATGGGATACATTTTGGAAAAGATGAGTTTGGTAATCAGGTCCAGGTGATATTCGATATTTGTTTGGCCTCATTGAGCATTATATCATGTGGACTAAATGATGCTAGCCCACTTAGAAGTTTTGGGTTGCTTATCTCGTAATAGGATTAGGGTTCAGGAGAATTGAGTTTCCATTTCAGTTCTGCCATTCTTCCATTGTCATTAAAAAACCCATGTGAAAATAGTAAAATAATTTTGAAAATTAAAAATGCTGTCAGTGGAAAGTGGTATAACAACTCTACTAGGAAATTGTAGGAGCAATAATACTAGAATGGGGGTGTCTACAGGTTGAGCTGTGTTGCCTCCCTTTTTCACTGAGCATACTTGGACCCTATCCATCAGCTATCTGCCTGAAAGCATTTTCAACTCCTGGGTTTCTTAATAATTAAAAATGATTCCCAGATGCATGTGCCTGAATGTCAGTAGCTCTGTCTTTTGTCAGTGTTTTTGTACTTGCTTACCGAAGCCATTTCCCAGTACATCATGTAGCTATAGCTATGGCTGTTGCTGAGTATTAAATACTGAATTGTAATTAAGATGCACAATGAAAAAAAAGATTGTTAGGATTTATGTAACAGATTTACTTAATAGATTTAATGTTTAGCCTTCTGATATTGTATAACTTTATGTCCATCTGTAATGTATTTATTTTCTATTAGTACACTCTAAGCAAAGTGAAGTTGCTTTAACATTAATCTCTTGGGCAAAGGATGAGAAATCTCTTGTTACTGTTGTAATACTAGTTTTTTCTGTGTGTGTTTTTTTATTGGTTAGTGTTAATGGAGACAGTTATATAATTCATTTCCTTCCTGTGTCTGGAAAAATTTAGGTGGTACTCTGAGTAAGCTTTGTAAAACTTTAGAAAGATTAAAACCATGTTTTCTCTTGTTTTAAGGTCAACATTTCACACAACGGGGAGTTACACCTCAGTATTATGATTATTGGGCTCTTCTACCTTTGAAAATAAAAATGTCCATTTGTGATTTTTTATTACTTTAGCTGAAAATTTTAGGTCATTTTCCCATCCTGAAACTTAGAGGGCTTTAGACACTATTTTTATGGTTTGCTCTTTAAATACTGTGAATACTCATTTTCTAGTTCCACAAAGAGATTCTAGTTTTACAGGAGACTTTTTTCATCATATAAAATAGCATTCCTGGCAACAGAGATAAACATCATCCTTCATCATAAACTGCTTTTTCTTTTACTTGATGTACAGAGGCAATTTTGATACAAAATTGGCAGAAAATGTTGCATTCCCTTCTCTCTCTCTCTCTCTCTCTCTCTCTCTCTCTCTCTGTCAGAAACTTCTCACTTTATCCTTAAAATGTAACTGGGATTTTAGAAACAAAATTAGTAACCTAGTGTTGTTATTCTCTACAGAAACAGTAAATTGAATTTGAATGTCAGAGTTCTGAAGCTATATCATTAAAGATAAAATGTAAGAAAATACTTGGTGGTCTTTAATTTTTACTATTTCTATTGCATAATGTTATAGAGAGCATATTAGAATGTTACATTGTTTTTTTGTTTTTTTTTTTTGTCCTACTGATTCTGATATCTAACATCTTTGGCTTTCTCCTTAAGGGATATCATAAGCCATATTTAGAACCACATAAATACCAGCATGAGTTTAGTCAAATCTGTTGGTTTTATAGTGAGTTTATTAATAATTATGTTACCGTCTTTTGTCAGAAAGACCACAGTAATGAAAACCATGTTTCACCTTTTACATACATAATTGGATGAGATCACCAGATGCTGATGTTAAGAGCACATCAACAGGAAAAGTTGAAAATGGGAGCTGCATGGAATAATACTAGAACCAATTAGCTCTGTCAAAGACCATATGACCAAGTATAGGGGAGAAAAATAGATTTTGACCATGAACAAACCTCAGGTCATTTAATAATGGAAAGAAACAGCAAAGTGGCCCTTCTTAGAGTTTTTTTTAGACTTTTGATATTAGCAGAAAATAACGTGGAAATTGGTACTTCATGGTCAATGTTTGAAAGCTCATTAGATTAATTTTGGTTTTCTTATATTTTATTGTAAATTTCAGACATACAGAAAAGTTGAAAAAATTGTACTATTCTACCATTAACATTTTGCTGCATTTGCTTTATTAAAAAGCTATCCATGTATTCATTTTTCTGTCCATCCATTTTTCTATCTTACTGCTTTATGCATTTCAAAGTAAGTTGTACACATCCCAATACCTTCCATTTGAAACACTTTATCATGCATATAATTAACTGGAGCTCAGAATTTATTTATGGGTCTTTTTTCAAGATAAAATTACATGCAGTGAAATGCACAGATCTTAAGTGCAGTATGTAATAAGTTTTGACAAATGCATACACTTGTGTAACTAAGAACTTTATCAAGATAAAGAACATTGCAGTCACTCCAGAACGTTCCCTCATCCCTCTTCAAAGTCAAGTCCTGCCCTTACTCCCAACTTTAAAGGCAGCTACTCTTGGGATATTTTTCATCATATATTAATTAACTTAGCTTGTTTTGGACTTTATATGAATGGAATCTTGCAGAATGTACTCTTTTGGGGTAAAGCTTCTTTCACTTAGGATAAGATTTTTGAGATTCATCTATGTTGTTACATGCATCAGTAGTTTATTCCCTTTCATTGGTGAATAGTGTCCATCCTATGTATGTACCACAGCTTAGTGTCTACTATTGATGGATACTTGAATTGTTACCAGTTTGGAGCTATTAATGAATAAAGCTGCTATGCTTTTCTTGTGTGCAAAAACCTAGGAATGGAATTACTGGGCCATAGTGTAGGTATATGTTTAGTTTTGTAAGAAACTGCCAAACATTTTCCAAAGGTGCACCATTTTACACTCCAACAAAAATGTTTGAACATTCTGGCCATTCATACCAACACCTTTTATTGTCAGTCTTTTTAAATTTAACTATTCTTGTGGATGTGTAGCAGTATCTCATTGTGCTCATTTTTATTTCTTATTTTAATATGTGCTTACCTAATGACTAAAGATGTTAGGCCCCTATTCATGTGCTCATTAATCATTGGGAAGCCTAGTATCTAGTGCAGAATTAGAGACTTCTGGTTGCCAAAAATCTCTTGCTTAAGGAAGTTAATCAGAAGTCCAGTGTCTATAAGGTTCTGATCCTAGTTAGGAGATCTGTAGATTTGCTAAAACAGACTGATCATCACAGGACTATGGAATGGAGAATAATAGTGTAACCAGTGATAAGTGGGAGTATTATTCTTGTTATACTTGCCACAAGTTTTACTATGAAAAACTGTGTCCTGAGATCTATTTTTATTTTTGGTCCTGAAGGTTTAGCATAACACAGGGCATACCACTAGATTTACAGTAGCCAGTTATGAATGTGTGTGTGTGTGTGTGTGTGTGTGCATGTGCTGTGTGTGGGAGAGGGTTTGGTGGTGGTGGTGGTAGTAGATATTTAACTGTTTATGGGAAATGTAGCAGTTTCTCTGGCGAATTTCTTGGAGATCTATCACGTTTCCTTCCCAGCCTTTTTTGTTAACCCAGGAGTCAGATGTGTTCATATTTATCTGCTCGGTGCCCATATCAAACTGTTACCAGTCACATGAACAATGGAGAAATCTCTAAGAAGGCCAAAGAGATTTTTAACTCCTTAGAAAATGAAAAGTTACCTTTGGGAACTAAGAGACCCACTTCTATTTATTTGAGCCCACTGTTTCCTCTAATCTGAATATCCCAATTATGTGTGCTTTTGAGCTTTGAGGTAGCAATATTGAAAATGGAATGAGTTTGTTGATGAAGATGGTGACTAGATTTATATATTTTTTACTTTACTCTTTTTTTTTATTGTTACAGAAGAAGCTACTATGGAGGAAACTGGGCCAGTTTTAGCTTTTCAGGACTCTTGTCCTGGATAATGGAATACCAGGTAAACTTCTTATATAAGTTTTTAATTTACTAGGTTTTATATGAGTCACATAATTGAAGAAAACCCTTAGCTTCATTTGTAATATAGGATCAATACCTCATTTTTATTTACTTAACAAAAATTATGCAGTCACAATTTCAGCCAATATTTTTCCAATGCCTTAAAAATATAGATATCAGTTTTTAAATATAAGTAGATATGTTAGCTGAAGAATAAATTATGTAAATGTGTTACCATGTTGTAATTACTTTATATGTCCAAATATAAGGCAAGCATTTTCTTTAAGAGTTTTTCAGAAAAAAGTATTTCAATTCTTATAAAATCTCATCTATACTAGTTGTTCTTTCAGTCATTATATTTGGAAAACAACAACAACACTATATGGGGAAAATACATTCATTTGAAATGATCTCAGTCATTCATGGTTTGCATAATTATAGAAGTCACCTGACAGAATCAGTAAAAACAAAAAGCAAGAAAAAATTTAACATAAATTTAGTGTTTTTTTTTTCCCCAAGGGTAGGGTCTCACTACTCTAACTGTTCTATATCATTGTAAGAAATTTTTTTAGAGCTTATTTAAAGTATAGTAATTGGGACAGTTGGGTATGTCATGGAGTTTACCAATTTTTATGAGTTGGATTTATAAAAAATATTGTCCTAATTTTAGATAAATGGTATATGTGTCTTGAAATCCCTATTGAGAGCATCATATCATGTAATGATGGAATCAGAAACTGCTATATCTCAAAAGATTTTAGGTAGTTCAGAAAGGAAGATGCTATGTTCTAGAAAATTGTATTTAGTTAGTTAGAATAATATAGCTAGCACTTATTAAGCACTTGCCATGTGCTAAACACTGCACTAAGCATTGTAGTTATACTGATTAATTTTATGGTGTGCATGACTCAAAAAGTGCTTTTAGTGATGACAAAGACATTGATGTTGAAGATTCAATTAATATTCAGTTTGAATAATATTGTTGCATAGAAATGAGAGTGTGGAGAAACAAGCAATATTTGTAAAGTAGCATTTCATGTAATTCAAACTGTATAAGTCAAGGAAATAAATGTTATAAGTAGACATTATATTCCTACTTATCTGTATGCATTAAATAGTCATATATTTATGTTTATCAGAAACCCTTTTTTGAACCTTATTCTTGGGAAGTATATGTGAGGGTCTCCTGATATTGAGGTATATTTAGTACTTCCATAGTTCCATGAAAAATTTAATCTAGCTTCTCAGAACAACAACAAAGTACCCCACTTGTCTGAATGGAAAAGTTTTGGTGAGTAAAGGGGTATAAAAAATAAATTTTGGTAATAGATTAGATTTATTAAAATAAAAATATTTTTCTAGACATTTATTTTACACTTCATTCACTTTAGCATCTTGACTCAGTCACTGTATCCTTTTCCCCTTCACTCTCTATCACTGGTCCACAGTTCTTTTTTCAGGCTGATAACCACATGTCTGCACATTCAAAGTTCCTGTAACTCCTCTTCTACCAAATAATTACATTTGATTATAAGAGCTCTCTGCCTCTGCTTTTCTTCATTTTAAAATGTTAAATTAAAGATAATGAGGCTTTTTAAAAATTAAATTTGTTGGGATGACATTTATGAATGTCATATAGGTTTCAAGTATACATTTCTGTGATACATGACCTATATATTGCATTGTGTGCCTACCACCCAAAGTCAAATCATCTTCCATCACCATATATTTGACCCCCTTTACCCTTTACTACCTCCCCATACCCCCCTCCCTTTGGTAACCACCATACTGTAAGACAATGAAACTTTAAAAAAATAACGATTGCCCTACTTTAGAAAATCTCTTAAGTTTAGAAATTTTCTGAGGTGATTTTACTTGAAACAAAGGATATTGTAGTTATATTTCACTACTAGTTCTCTGGGTATATATAATATATCCTTAAACTTTTTTCTCTGAGAGATTTGTGTCAAATAGATTAAAATTTTAAACAGATTAAAAATTGATCTTTGATATTTGGGAAAGGTATGTCTTGATGTCTTCAAAAATCCCTTGTATTCAAATATTGCTGTATCATAATTTTTTCCATAAAATATAAGTAGGAATTATTGGAAATTTTAAAGGATCACTTTCAATTTTTAGTGATAGTTTATATACTTTATTATACTTTCTTATTTTTATTATACTTTTTATTGATATTTTTATATAAAATATCAAGGGGTTGATTATTATTGTTGACTAGAGGCCCGGTACACGAAATTCATGCATGGGTAGGGTCCATAGGCCTGGCCCGCAATCAGGGTTGATCGGGACCTTCCTTCCCCCGGCTGTCAGCTGCCGGCTGCTGGCCAGAGCTTTCCTACTTCTGGCTACCAGCTGGGGCCATCTTTCCCCCAGTTGCCACTGCTGGCCAGGGCCTTCCTTCATTCCGCGCCGCCTCCTGGTGGTCAGCGCACGTCATAGCGAACGGTCAAACTCCCGATCGGTTGAACTCCCAAGGGGACAATTTGCATATTAGCCTTTTATTATATAGGATTATTAAACTCACTAATTGTGTTGGGCTAAGTACTTTCAGAAATACTTTTACATATATTCGAAATTTTACATGGCTAGTGATCAACCTCAGAGATCTAAGGGTAAATAGAATGAAGTAACGTTGAACCTGCTATTTTGACAAAATGTAAAAACTTTATTATTAATTAGTAATTAAAACAGATAGGCATGATTCTCAGTGGATGGAGCATTAATTGTCCTAGTTTTTAGCCATGTCAAAGCAGCCATGTCCAGATGGCTCCATCAAAATATCAAATATCCTGATAGAAATCTGTCAACCAGGCCTGGCTTTTGATAGGATAGATTTTATACATTGTTTTTCTTTCTTTCCTTTGAAGTTAGCCCACTAAGCTACTGGAGTCGCTTCAGTGACTCTGAAGTGATACCCATCTTTGAGTTTTGATGGGATGAAAGAAAAAGCATGAGTTTATTAAGGTACAAATTTTCTCAAAAGAGTAGAGGTTCAGATTGCTCAATTAATTAAAATTTCTCATTTTTATATTGTTTAGGAAAACAGTGACATTGTGAATGAAAGCCCAGCATGGCAAGAACAGATCCTTCTAAATGAAGAAGCCATTGCTCTTAGCAAGTTGGACAAAACCATTCAACATGTGGAAGTGTTTTGTTATGCCAGGTATGAAAATTATTTATTTAGGATAAACCAAATTAATGACTTCTTACTCACACTTCTTCAGAAGAGGCCAACCATAACCATTTATATAGAATTGGTTGCTACATGTCTAATAGATATGCTGGTTTGTCTTTTTAAAAATGTAACTTTCAGGTCTGGAGAACATATGCTAAATGAAATATGCCAGTCAGAGAAAGACAAGTACCATATGATTTCAATCATGTGTTGAATTTAATGAACAAACTGAACTACCAAGCAAAATAGAGTCAGACTCCCAGATAAAGAGTATGCAGACAGCCCTGGTGAAGTGTAGGGGTCTTGAGTAAAAAAAGAGAACTCATGGACATGGATAACAGTGTGGTGATTGTGGAGAGAATAGGAGGGTAGGTGAAGGTGAGAGAGGACATAGAGCGGATAAATAGTAATGGAAAAATAAAACAAAATGAAATCTATATATATAAAAGGCTAATATGCAAAGTGTCCCCTTGAGAGTTCGACCGGGAGATCAGGAGTTTGATCGCTCGCTATGATATGTGCTGACCACCAGGGGGCACTGTGAAACATAGGAAGGCCCCTGCTGGCAGCCAGCAGCTGGGTAAGGGTGCCCTGGCTGGCAGCCGGCAGCCGAAAGGAAGGCCCTGGCCGGCAGCTGGAAGGCCCCAATCTGCCCTGATCGCTGGCCAGGCCTAGGGATCCTACCCTTGCACAAATTTTGTGCACTGGGCCTCTAGTAAAATATAAAAATGTAACTTTCAGTTTTCTCTGTTTAGAGATTAATAATAATAATAATAATAATAATATCTTACATTAATGACTTATAATTCACCAAGCTCTTCTACATTCATTATCTTATTTGATTCTAATAACTATCCTGTGCTAGGATAGGGCAGATAGTATTAGCAGCATTTTTTGTACAGAATCCTCAATAGAACTAAAAAAGATTAATGTGCTGAATGTCACATGGTTTGATAAATGTCAAGGCCATACTCAAGCTAGGTAGCAGTGGAGCTTAAGATTAAAACACATGATTTTTAATTGTAGTCCAGTGTTCTACTCTTTTTAGATAATATTCAAAGTAGCAAAATGGAAAATAAACACCACTCTTCTTAGATAATATTTAGTGTAGCATAATGGGAAATTATAATTTTGAATTTAAAAAATTAAATTGAGTGGTCATAATATTTGGGGACATATTGTAAATCAGGACAGAACTCATTGTTTTAAAACATTTGAAAAAGTTTGTTTCTTCAAATGACACAATTGATAGGCTGAAAGATAGCAGTCACATAGTGCAATCATTGAAATAGTGATAGAGTTGAGGGGTTTAAAATATCACACTGTCTGGCACGTCTATAGTAATTAAAACTTAAAAATTCAAGATACTACCGATTCTTTAGGATATGCTCTGTCGTGCTGAAAACTTTGGGAACTTGGTTATTTCTTAATCCATGTTCATATCTTTCAGATAACTAGCATTTTCTCCCATAAGCACAGGTATTTTTCTATGATTTTCTGCAAAAAAAGACAGCCTTTAAATGCCAGATATAGATTGTAATTTATATAAAGCTAAATGGCATTTTGTATGAAAAGGTACAACTCTCTGATGTTGTTTAGAGCCGTGGTAGACAGATTTAAAACCGAATGTGATCTCAACTGAAAAGCCATATGCTTTGGTGAAACCAGGAATAAATATTTGATAACTTTTTAGTGTATCCATGAAAACTACTTGACTAGAATATAATGACAGTCATACTATGACCCTTTGAGAGATAATTTTTGATATTTTAGGGCCTTTGATTTCTCTCTACTCTATACAGTTGGGGTTTATAGTTTCTAATGACTGAACTGACACATTTTGAGTGCAGAGAAAATGATCTCGTTTTTAATTTCTGGTTTCTTTAGTTTCATTTTTGTGACTTCCTAAAGTGATAAAGTAAAAGGTTGGTGGTAGAAAGTTTGTTTTAAAACAGAGAAATAGAACTCTGCTGTATGTTCCTCTCATTGCCCGTTAGAGCGTGGAACAAGAGGTTAATTGGGATTATGTTCTATATATCTTCATTTACTTGGAAAAGGTAATTGGTTATTAATATCATACTTAGCAGGAAGAGCCCTGAGAGTATCCAGTGGAGGAATGTACAGAAAATTCACTTCTCTATTGCTAGTGCTACAAACATGGGTAAACGGGAATAACAATACCTCATTTAGCCCCAGCCAGACTGTGCCATCCTTAATCTTTGGATCATGGCCATAAACTTGGAATTATGTGAAAGGGGCTATGGCAGAATAGCTTTCACAAAGATTTACTTTATATGAGGACCAACTGACTTAAATCAAAAGCCTTATTTAATACATATTTCTGACAACCTTATTTTCAT